TCCAATGAAGACCTACTGGCTCAGGCAACAGGGATCGAGTCTCTTGAAGGTTATTAACCACAGTTCTTTATAAAATCAGTGTTCAGCATCAAATCTTATGTGAACTTTCAAATGTATGTTTATCTGTCTTTATTTAATTGACAGGAAACGACTTCAGAAACACGTACTTCAAAATAACATGTTAACTTAGATGGTGTGTCTGTTGGCAACATATCTCATAAACAGCTCATTGGATTTGTTTGAAACGTGCAGAAAATAATCATCACGTGTCACTAAAAGTGATTAACATTTGGAGCCATTTTGATTCAAGATGGCTGCCAGTTACCTCAGAAAACACTAAATTGATTATAACTCAGTCATTCTTTAATAAATTGAGCTGAAATTCTGTATGTTTGTAGCTGAGAGCGAGTTCTTATACATTCCTGTCAAATATCCAAGATGGCTGCCTTAGCTAAAAGAGTAAAAATGATAACTTGGCTATTTTAAACAATATTGAGCTGAAATTTGTTGTGGTGGTAGCTGACAGTGATGCTACACATTCTCATATCCATTCTAAAAATTCAAGATGGCCCCCAAAGCTAATTTCAAATGGCTATAAGTCGACTGTTTTTAGAAAGATTGAGCTGAAATTTGTTGTGGTGGTAGCTGAGAGCAACGAGGGAAGTGAAGTTTTGAGATCGTCATCGTTGTATTCGTTCTCTGCATTTAACCCATCGCACCAGTACACCCCGGTGGAGCAGTGGGCACCTAAGGCTCCCACAGACTCGAGCATCCTGTGAGCCGCGCGGACACTGCACACTGTCCGCAGACGGTTCAGACTTCATACTCGATGGTCCACCCTGAGCGGCTGCAGAGCAGCTCCGCAGGCAAGGGCCGTTTACCTTCAGGACAAATTGAGTTTGCAGATTGGTCATGTGCTGACGCCTACTGGATTGATTGACAGGTCACAAACACCCCCCCCCCCCAAAAAAAAAAAAAAAAAAACAACCAAAAAAAAAAAATTACCGAGAGCTGGCAGCCCCAGCTGCAGCGGTGTTCTGTGTTTATAAGTTGTTAATAAAAAGATCTAAAAAAACAAAAACGGGGAGCACTGGTCCTGCAGGCCACACATCAGACCAGCCCACCAGGAAACCTCCAGACCCTCCTGCAGCCACGCTGGACCGATTTAATTTCAGTCAACAGGAGGAAGACATCACTTGCCTCTTGACAACAACAAAAAAACAACAAGCCAGAGCAGGGATGAAGAGGAGAATTTAATTCATCAGTGTCACATACAAACAGTCGGTCACCGGGCAGTTCATTGTGCGACACCGAGTACCCGAACACGGTTGTAAAAATGGATCTGGGCATCCGCTTGGACTCTAATTTGGTACACGTGGAGTCGCGGACTGAAGCATGCCCGAGTCTGTGGGAGCCTTTAAAGGTCAAAGCTTTATCACTGTGCACCAGAAGCAGTGATGATGGTCATCCTGTGTGTTTTTTCTCTCTTCAAACTTGAAGCGTGGTTGCCCTGCAAGGCAGTGATTGTGTCACTTCAGTCTTTTCTCTCTGGGTCTTCCTGTACACTTCTTGTGTTTGACCACCAGATGGAGCCAAACCTCTGTGAATAAAGACACTTTTCAACAGAGTTCTTTTTCTGAAAGAGACGTGTCTTGTTTCAGGAGTTCTTCAGATGATGCAGATCAGGATCAGTACTCTGCAGGCTGCTGTGGACAGGTGAATCCAATTCATTCTACACACTGATGGACTCATCCCATTTGTGACACCATGAATTTGCTTGTTTAGCAAAGTTGAGAAGGTTCATTAGTTTTGCATGAACGTGAGAGACGACATGTGAGCTTCACTTTTTGGTCATGTCTGCCTAGAACTGATCAAGTCTGGTCTTTCCTGATCTCGAGCTTCACAGACGCCTTCAGCTGAAAAAAGCAACATGTTTTACTTTTATTATTTATTACAGTCATACATGGTTTGCTTAGACTGTAATAAATTCATGTTACAATGTTGTAAATCGTTGTCACAACTCAAATATGCCATTAAAAGAAATCATTAGCATTTTTAACCTCACCTAGCATGTACTGTATGTACAATCATAATAAGACCAAAAATACAATTGACACATGTAGAAGTATATTTGTAAATTAGGATCAAATGTTCCTACAAGAAGATGTTGTGAACTGTAAAATATCTGTTTAATACACGATGGCATAAGATAATGTTGTAATGTTTAAACTATACATTGTTCCCAGGATAAGAACAAAGATTGTTGATCCTTATAACAAGATCGTTGCCAGGACGACCCAGTTGGCCAGACTGCAGGTAACCTTGTGAACTTCCTCTCCTCACGTGACAATAGTGAAATTACAAACATTGTAAACAAGAGGGATTTTCTTTTGTTTAAATTGTGGGTTTACAGCCAGGACAAAACATTCACTTGGAATCCATTTGAAAACCACATAATATTTTTAATAATAATAATTTAATAATACAGTAGTCCCTCGTTTATCGCAAGTGTTAGAGACCCCCCCCCCCCCCCCCCAGATAAGTGAAGAATTGCGAAGTAGAGATACAGTAGTTCACGTTCAAGTAAACTTTATTCTTTATTGTCATTACCATCTTGTGGTACATGAGATGGATCGAACTTGTGTACACAAGTAGTAGTAGTAGTAGTAGTGAGTAGTACTTTACTTTAGTGTTTATATACAGGTATATATTGGCATTTTAAACCCTTCCCACACTCTTACAATGTTCCTAACAATTTTCTAAACTCTTAAACCTTGAAAAAATATTAATTTTAAATGGATACTCACCAGAGAAGATGAAGATGATGAATTAGCTGTCCAGTGATGACAATGAAACCTGGTGCGTTGGCTTCATCCTTCATAATAAAAGTGTGACACGACATCCTTTACCAGAACAGGCCCATTTCATCCACGTCAAAACCTTGTTCAGACCTGTAGCCCCCTCTGAGATCCGATCTTTGACCGTTGTGTTAACAAACTCCTCAGCTCCTGCTGGCAGCGGACGCAGAGTCTCTGTCCAGACAAACACTGTTGTTTTTATCCCACGTGATGCAGTGCAGCTTCCATCTTAACAACTGTGCTGTAGGCGGCCGGCAACATCCATACAGTGAGGAAAATAAGTATTTGAACACTTGTGAAAATCAATGTTAATATTTGGTACAGTATCTTTGTTTGCAGTGACAGAGGTCAAAGGTTTCCTGTAGTTCTTCACCAGGTTCACTGCAGCAGGATTTTGGCACAATCCTCCACAGATCTTCTCTAGATCACCAGGTTTCTGGGCTGTCGCTGAGAAACAGAGTTTGAGCTCCCTCCAAAGATTTTCTATAGGGTTTAGATCTGGAGACTGGCTAGGCCACTCCAGAACCTTGATATGCTTCTTACGGAGCCACTCCTTGGTTCTCCTGGCTGTGTGCTCCGGGTCATTGTCATGTTGGAAGACCCAGCCACGACTCATCTTCAATGCTCTAACTGAGGGAAGGAGGTTGTTCCCCAAACTCTCTCAATACATGACCCTGGTCATCCTCTCCTTAATACAGTGCAGTCGTCCTGTCCCATGTGCAGAAAAACACCCCCAAAGCATGATGCTTCCACCCCCATGCTTCACAGTAGGGATGGTGTTTTTGGGATGATACTCATCATTCTTCGTCCTCCAAACACGTCGAGTGGAATTATAACCAAAAAGTTCTATTCTGGTCTCATCTGACCACATAACTTTCTCCCATGACTCCTCTGGATCATCCAAATGGTCATGGGCAAACTTAAGAGGCGGCTGTGGCTGAGTGGTTAGAGCAGTCATCCTCCAATGCGAGAGTTGGGGTTCGAATCCAACAGCAGTCACATGCCAAAGTGTCCCTGGGCAAGACACTGAACCCCTTGTTGCCTCTGATGTGTGTCCCATCGGTGTATGAATGTGATAAATCACTGATTAGTCTCTTTAGAATGACTTGTTCAATTAGCTTTGTAGAGATCTAGTAGAGTGCTGTATGAATGGGTAAATGAGGCACAGATTGTAGTGTAAAGCGCTTTGAGTATCTCAATACAGATAGAAAGGCACGATATAAGTACAGTCCATTTACCATTTAAGATGGGCCTGGACGTGTGCTGATATAAGCAGGGGAACCTTCCGTGCCATGCATGATTTTAAACTATGACGTCTTAGAGTATTACCCACAGTAACCATGGAAACAGTGGTGCCAGCTCTCTTCAGGTCATGGACCAGCTCCTCCCATGTAGTTCTGGGCTGATTCCTCACCTTTCTTAGGATCATTGATACGCCACAAGGTGAGATCTTGCATGGAGCCCCAATCCGAGGGAGATTGACCGTCTTGACCGTCTTATTGGCTTCATCAGATCGTGATCTACAGCTTTCGCTGGAGCGGTTCGCAGCCGAATGCGATGCGGCCGGGATGAAGATCAGTTCCTCCAAATCTGAGGCCATGATCTTGAGCCGGAAAAGGGTAGAGTGCCCTCTCCGGGTCAGGGAGGAGGTCCTACCCCAAGTGGAGGAGTTCATGTATCTTGGGGTCTTGTTCATGAATGAGGGAAAAATGGAGCGTGAGATCGATAGGCGGATAGGTGCAGTGTCTGCAGTGAAGCGGGCGCTGTACAGGTCTGTCGTGGTGAAGAGAGAGCTGAGTCAAAAGGCGAAGCTCTCAATTTACCGATCGATCTACGTTCCCACCCTCATCTATGGTCACAAGCTTTGGGTTGTGACCGAAAGAATGAGATCTCGGATACAAGCGGCCGAAATGAGTTTTCTCCGCAGGGTGTCTGGGCTCTCCCTTAGAGATAGGGTGAGAAGCTCGATCATCCGGGAGGGACTCGGAGTAGAGCCGCTGCTTCTCGACGTCGAGAGGAGCCAGTTGAGGTGGCTTGGGCATCTGTTGAGGATGCCTTCTGGACGCCTCCCTGGTGAGGTGTTCCGGACACGTCCCACCGGAAGGAGGCCCAGAGAAAGACCCAGGACACGCTGGAGGGACTATGTTTCTTGGCTGGCCTGGGAACGCCTCGGGATTCCCCCGGAAGAGCTGGCCCAAGTGCCTGGGGAGAGGGAAGTCTGGGCCTCCCTACTTAGGCTGCTACCCCCACGACCCGACCCCGGATAAGCGGAAGAAAATGGATGGATGGATGGATGTTTTGTCTTTAGGGTGGACCAGCCTCTGTCTGAGAGTCCTGCTGGGTTTGAAATGTACTGGGATCTTGTGTTTGTTGAAGATCCTTGTGAATTTCTCTGATACTCCAGCAACATAAGGGATGACAATGTTTTTACATCTGCTGTTCTCCTTTTTCAGTTTATTGGTGTGTTTTGTAGATTTCCTCACTGACTTGACAAAAGCCCAGTTAGGATATCCACATGTTTGAAGAGCTTCTTGAATGTGTTTCTGGTCCTTTTCCTTACCTTCTGTCTTTGTGGGGACGCATTCGGCCCGATGTTGTAAAGTTCTGATGACAGAGAGTTTGTGTTCCAGTGGATGTTGGGAGTCAAACAGAAGATACTGGTCTGTGTGGGTTGGTTTTCTGTAAACTTCAATGTTGAGGCTGTCCTCTCTCTCCATCTGAACCAAACAGTCCAGAAAAGGCAGTTTGTTGTCATTTGCATCCTCTCTGGTGAACTTGATGTTGTTATCGACCGAGTTAATGTGTCTGGTGAACGCTTCTATTTCCTTAGCTTGGACTTTGACCCAAGTGTCATCCACATAACGGAACCAATGGCTTGGCGTTGTTCCCTCATAGGAGTTTAGGGCTCTCTGTTCCACTTCCTCCATGTAGAGATTGGCAACAATGGGTGACACTGGAGATCCCATGGCACAGCCGTGCTTCTGTCTGTAAAAACTGTCATTGAACTTGAAATAAGTGGTGGAGAGGCAGAGATCCAACAGGGTGCAGATCTGGTCTGGGGTGAAGTTGGTCCTGTTGATTAAGTCCTTGTCTTGTAGAAGTTGTTTTCTGACGGTTTCTACTGCTTCAGAGATGGGTATGCATGTGAAAAGAGAAGTCACATCATACGATACAAGGGTTTCTCCTGGGGTTAGTTTCAAGTGTTGAACTTTGTTAGCAAAATCTATGGAGTTCTTTATGTGATGAGGTGTGTTTCTAACAAGAGGAGCTAAAATACCAGCCAGATGTTTAGCAATATTGTATGTCACTGAGTTCATGCTGCTGACGATGGGTCTGAGTGGTGTTCCTTCTTTATGTATTTTTGGAAGTCCATAAAGACAGGGAGTGGCTTCCCCTGGGTACAATCTATAATACAAAGATCGATTGATTGTTTTCTCCTTTTCAAGTTTTTGCAGGTAATCTGTGACTTTCTTTTTGTAGGCACTGGTTGGGTCCCTCTTCAGGGTCTCGTAGGTGTTGCTATCGCTCAGTAGTGTAGTTATTTTTTCCCGGTAATCAGAAGTGTTGAGGACTACTGTGCATCTTCCTTTATCAGCTGGTAAAATGGTGATGTGATGACCAAAACATCAGAACTTTACAACATCGGGCCGAATGCGTCCCCACGAAGACAGAAGGTAAGGAAAAGGAACAGAAACACATTCAAGAAGCTCTTCAAACATGTGGATATCCCAACTGGGCTTTTGTCAAGTCAGTGAGGAAATCTACAAAACACCAATAAACTGAAAAAGGAGAACAGCAGACGTAAAAACATTGTCATCCCTTATGTTGCTGGAGTATCAGAGAAATTCAGAAGGATCTTCAACAAACACAAGATCCCAGTACATTTCAAACCCAGCAGGACTCTCAGACAGAGGCTGGTCCACCCTAAGGACAAAACACCCATACACAAACAGAGTGGTGTAGTGTCTGCGGTCCAGTGCAGCGAGGACTGTCCAGACCTCTACATTGGAGAAACTATACAGCCTCTTCACAGACGCATGGCTCAACACAGGAGAGCCAGCTCCACAGGACAAGACTCAGCTGTTCACCTCCATCTCACAGATAAGGGACACTCTTTTGAGGACCAAAATGTTCACATTTTGGACCGAGAACACAGATGGTTTGAGAGGGGGGTGAAGGAGGCAATTTATGTAAAAAGAGAAAAGCCATCTCTTAACAGAGGAGGAGGCCTCAGATTTTCACTTTCAAAAACCTATAATGCAACTTTAAAACAGATTCCCAGACGGTTTTCACACCTGATGGGAACAGAGGGGCCTCGTCTGTGAATTAGAGGAACAAAGACCTTAAGAAACCCCTACTGTTAAGGTGTTTAGGTGTGAATTGCCAATCTACATATGTGTGTGTGTGTGTCTTATTTCACTCAGCCTTATAACCTGAATCTCTCACTCTCTGCTCTTT